GGTGCTCATGGGCGGCGTTAATCACTTACCATCAGGTGAGCCGCATGATCGTTTGTCCTCTGTGTTATAAAAAAAAAAATTATACCATTTATATGAAAAAAGAAATATTTTAAACTAGCTTTTGCCTGCGGCTTCGCTCGCGTTAATTTATTCCCTTAGGGGTGGAATTCATCGTAATCCTTTCCTAGGGGATGCCTACGTCATAGCAGCTTTATGCATGCAGAGTCTCAGCCCGATCGGTTCAAAATTGACAAAGTTTCATACAAACTTTCATCCCCTATTTTATCCCCTTGGGGGTAGAATTAATCAAAATCCATTCTTAGCGGATGTCTACGTCATAACATCTACCTGCATGCCAAATTTCAGCCCGATCCGTCCAGTGTTTCGGGCTGTGCGTTGATAGATCACTATGTCAGTCCAGTTATCTTTGAGTTATATATATTTAGAGATTAGATTTGACTAAAAGTATCTTGCACTAAACTACTTTGAATAAGATTTCTCCAAACGTAACCCACTTAATTATTGCAAATCGTTAACATACTAAGACAGACGGCTAAAATGACACGACAGTTGCAATTGTTTTTTTAATATAAAAACACTAAGTCTGATTGTACTAAAAAGAAAACAAGTTATACATCTTGCGTTGCTATGAAATATTTTAAAATGACATACTTCGCGTGGCATTCAAAACATTTAACTGTGTAATAACTTAGAAGGAACATTGTACTCCCCATCTTTTGTTTTATGTCAACACTCGTATGCCCCGTTTTCAGATGAAGAGAGCTCTAAAATACTGGCTCGTGGAAAATAAAACACTCTTTATACTAGAAATATACTTTTTCAAGTTGAACATTTTATTATTGCATTCTGTATTGTGTATTACTTTAAATTGCGGTGAAGTTATTACTTTATAGTGTTACTAGCTACTCGCCCCGGCTTCGCACGGGTGTACATGTATTATACATATAAACCTTCCTCTTGAATCACTATCTATTAAAAAAAAACCGCTTCAAAATCCGTTGCGTACTTTTATAGATTTAAGCATACATAGGGACGGACAGACAACGACAGCGACTTTGTTTTATAAAATGTAATGATTACATCAGGTTAAGTACTATTAAATATATCTGTAATTATTATTAGACGGGTTCGGTTGTATAGTAGTCTAACATATCTACTTACTTCCGATGGAAGTGGGTTTGAGTCATCGCACAGTACAAATATTTGTATTAATGTGATTGTGTTTAGTAGATACTGCAGATGTACGCGGGTTTGAGTCCGCGTACAGTATAAACATTTGTATTCATGAATATGACTGTTTGTATTAATGTAACTGTATCCTATATATATTACTAGCTACTTGCCCTGGCTTCGCACGGATGTACATGTATTATACATATAAATCTTCCTTTTGAATCACTCCGTCTATTAAAAAAACCGCTTCAATATCCGGTGAGTAGTTTTAAAGATTTAAGCATACATAAGGACAGAGAGCGACAGCCACTACTACGTAATGATGTATATATAAGTGTATTTACAAAACGAAAATTATTTAAGTTTATTTATATCAGTTGTTTCGTACCACTAACACAAGCTCTGCTACCTTGGTACTAGATGGCATAGTCCGAATTGTCCTGTGTTATTTAAAAAAAATATTTAGTTTGATGTGTAAGTTGTCCTGTGTATCAAAATTATAATAAAAAAATCTTGTAAGTAAAGACTAGCGCCATCTGTGCAGACGTTTAAACACCAACCTACTCTGTTCCGTCTCTCTGGAATATTCTGCTCTGTGCCTTTTTTCTTTTACTTACTCCGACACTACTATTTCTAATTAATAAACTATATTTCAGTTTTATTTAGTATACGAGCGTTTGACATTTTTTTGTTTACACCAGTTATTACCCACTCAGTACCACATATCCCACTGTTTTAAGTTGACTGGAAGAGATTTTTTCTAGGGATAAGTCCACCTTTGCTCACATTGTCTCTAAATTATAATATCTTTGTATTATCTGTGCAATAAAGAATATATTGTTAATTTGTAAATTGCTGTTTTCTGTTATGAAATACAATAAAAAAACTGATTTAATTAGAGGTCGTTCAAAATAGAAATCAGTTACTGGCTGGTTTACTGCTCAAAATTCGTTCCTAACAATTTTTTTTTTAATTTATATAAGGCATTATATAAATAAAAAAAAAATCTAATGATATTATTTTTATATCATCTAATATCAAAGCATTTTCAAAGACTATCACTTTAAAATTAGAATAAACAAATAATTATTCACATCAACCGTTACTCCACAGAACCCTTATCAAATTCAAGAACCGTTATTAATACATTTTTCGACGAAAAAATATTTTCATTAGATAATAAAAGCAGAAATAACACATATTTTAATATTGAAAGTACTTAAAAATATCATTGATTGATGTACATTCAGCTAATATTGTTTATTAAGTTTTACATGTGACTTCGTCTGCATTACAAAGTTATATATAATTATATAAAGTGGCGTAAAAAATACTGTATGTATTTTTTTCATTCTTCTACAATCAACCCCTATTTTTTAATAGCGGTTTTAAATATATATATATATTAAAACAAAGTTTGCGGGGGCATCTAGTTATAAATGCACTAGCTCCTCGCCCCGGCTTCGCACGGGTGTACATGTATTATATATATAAATCTTCCTCTTGAATCACTCTATCTCTTACTGTGTTTTTTATATTTGAGCCTAAATAAATTAGTGCTGGTTGGTAGTTTATATTCACACGTTTCGACTTGTAAAATGTGAACTTACAAGGATTGTTTAAAAGAGCAACACACAAGTTTCTTGCTTATTCTTCCTGTGATGAGACAGCTTTCTGAATAAGCGGTAGATTTAAAAAAATGTTGACTATTCAAAAGTGCCTAAATTAAGTTTATTTGAATAAATGATTTTCTATTGTATTCTATTAAAAAAAACTGCTTCAAAATCCGTTGCGTAGTTTTAAAGATTTAAGCATACATAGGGACGGACAGCGACAGCGACTTTGTTTTATTCTATGTAATTATGTGATAAGGTTTAGTATTTATATATGTCAATAGTGACATTATGTATATGTACAATATATATATACGTTAGTGACAGTTTACTAAGACAAATCTATATAGACGTACTTTGTTTTCTAAACCGATTTTGATGAAACTTTACAGTATTATAGCTTATACATCGGAATAACACATAGACTATAATTTAAAAGATATTATGTAGTTTGGGGGAAATATATTGACGAATAATAATAATAATAATAACCTCAGGACAATTCACACAGCGCCATCTAGACCCAAGTTAAGCTATCTAAAGCTTGTGTTATGGGTACTAGATAATTGATGCAAATACATCGATTATTTTTTTCGTTAATACATACATATTATATATATAAAACACCCAGACCGACACAAACAATCATACTCATGAATACAAATGTTTGCGCGAGGAATCGAACCTGCGACCATCGGTATTACGACGGTGTGTTAAATCACTAGACCACCGAGGATGTCAATGAATATCAAGTAAATATCTTGCACAGGTCATCTAGTATGAAGTAAATAAATCCACCCTAAGTAATATTAGTTATTGTGAGTAATGAATTAGTTCCATCTTAGATTAACTGCGACTGAAGGATGTATAGATAAGAAAATGAGTACTAAAAATGAGAAAACTGTCAGCGGCAGTTAGCGGCCGTGATGTATGGGTTTCAGTGCAAACTCATAAGTAGTGCACGGGACCCTCGTCATGTCGTTTCGTGAATTAGTGAACGATAAATGTAACTAAAAAATTAGTTCTAGTTGTGTTTGGTTCAAACGGCTATTGATTTAACTATAAAATAACAGGTTAGGTTACCAGTGGTAGAATACTCGTAGAATACACCGATACAAACAATCATACTCATGAATACAAATCTATATAACATTTGTCATGTCGTTCATCGTTTGAATTAGTGAACGATAAATGTAACTAAAAAATTAGTTCTAGTTGTGTTTGGTTCAAACGGCTATTGATTTAACTATAAAATGACAGGTTAGGTTACCAGTGGTAGAATACTTGTAGAATACACCGATACAAACAATCATACTCATGAATACAAATCTATATAACATTTGTATTCATGGGTTTCAGTATCATAAGTGTGACCCTCGATGTTGTTTCATATATATAAACTCATAAGATTTAACTATAAAATAAATGTACCAGTGGTAGGTAGAATACACCAAACTCATCATGAATACAAATCCATTTGTATTCATGAATTAGTGAACGATAAATGTAACTAAAAATTTAACGTTCTAGTTGCATTTGGTTCAAACGGTAACTGATTTAACTATAAAATGACAGGTTAAACTCGTAGAAATAATATTTAACTATATAAATGACAGGTATATTAGGTATATATATACCAGTAGTAAATTATGCCGTTTCCTGAATTAGTGAACATGTAACTAAAAATTTATGTTCTAGTTGCATTTGATACATTTAACTATAAAATGACATACCTCATGAATACAAATCTATATAATATTTGTATATATGTATAACATTTGTATTCATGAGTATGTAAGTCGGAGGTGATATATGGGTTTTTCAATGCAAACTCATAAGTAGTGTACGGGACCCTCGTCATGCTGTTTCGTAAATTAGTGAACGATAAATGTAATGTAGAAAACACCCAGACTGATACAAACAACAACAATATTATATATGTATTTACAAAAAAATCATACTCATGAATACAAATGTACGTAATATTTGTATTCATGAGTATGATTATTTTATATCAGTCTGGGTGTTTTCTATGTATATTATATATGTGTTTACAAAAAAATCTGAGTATTTACATCAGTTATCTAGTACTATAACATAAGCTCTGTTTACCATAGGACTGGACGGCGCTGTGTAAATTGTTCAGGTTTATATTTTGTGAGTACGTACTAATAAAATATGTCTTGTTTCCAGGAATGGAGGAAGCCACTCCTGCATCAAGTGCTCTCCGTGGAAGTCCATTAACCTACTGATTCAACTTAAAGGTAAGAAATAGGACTTACTTAAAAACTTTGTTTTACTTATTTAAAAACGATACCTGGATGGTAAAGCGGTTCAATCTCTTTACAACATTAATTTCTGTAGTCATAATGGTCAAAATGTTTTCAACCCCTTACAGAAAATAAGGGATGTTATAAGTTTGATGCAACATATTTAAAAACAGTACCTCGTTGTTATAGCGGTTCAATCTCTCTTCAATCATTTAACTTCAATAGTCATAATAGTCAAAATGTTTTCGACCAAGGGGTCGAATAAGGATACGAAAAGAGGGGTGTTATAAGTTCGATGTATTTGTCTGTCTGCATGCCTGTCTACAACAAATCTCCGAAACGAATGGGCCGTTTATGGGACCTTTTATAAAAGATTTTGTGTTTGAGAGCTGATGTAATAATAACAAAATTTCAGGACAATTAACACAGCGCCATCTAGTCCCAAGCTAAGCAGAGCTTGTGTTGTGGTTACTAGACAACTGATATATAATATATATACCCATTTTTTGTAAATACATACTTAATATATAGAAAACACCCAGTCGATCTGGGAATACAAATGTTTTTACCGTGCAAGAAATCGAACCCGCGATCATCGGACGTAAAGCTGGTTACTGTTTTGGACTTATCACAACAGATTTTCTGGAAAAATGAAATTAAGCCGAATAATAATTTCTATGTTGACAATTAACAAAAACCACAAAAATATGTGAGCTCAAATTGATGTAAAAAGTTTATAATTATAATAATATTATTTAACAAACATTGGCGCAGATTAAAGTCAAAGCACCTACTTCGCTTTAACTTTTCACACAGCGCTATTTAATTATCTAGGAGGCAAGGAAGTTAGTAAATTTAAATGTAGTTTTTTTATTAATAATATAAATGTACATTAAAATCGATTGGTTTTGTTATCCCCAATGGATGCAACTACCTTATTTTCTTTGATGACAATGTCTCTAACTATCCCATCTATTATTACAGTCATATAGATATGTTATAAAGGAAGCAAGAAGCCTACGCTCTGGAGCGATTCAGCATCATTTGAAAATGTTTAAAAATTAAAAAAATCATAATATCTTTATTCATGTAGGTCTATTACAGACTCTTCTGATATGTCAAATCTACCATCAGTTCTGAATGATTTCGAGATGAGAAGAATTGACAACAAATTCAGCTCGTATTCTTTTCAAATAAATGTTGTAATGTTTACAATAATAGAGATTCAATAGAGGTGTAGAGTGCAATGATGGCTGGCTCATCCGTCATACTCGTGAACGGGTGCTGCTTGTGGGGACTGGTCTGTTCAGGTTGCGAACACTGAATAGATTTTTTGATTTTTTGCTCACTCTATTCTCCCAAATTTGTATTTTAATGACTGTGTATATTTGTTACCGCGTATAACATTTATTTTAAAAGAATACGAGCTGAGTGTCTTGTCATTCCTTCTAATCTCTAAAGCACTCCGAACTGACGGTAGATTTGACATATCACAAGAGTCTGTAATAGACCTACATGAATGAAGATATTTAGAATTTTGAATTGTTTTTGAAAAGAAACATTTTTAAATTCAAATTTGGGAGAATAGTGTGTTGACCCAGCATGTAGTGACCCAGCATATGCTATTGCGAAAGCAAAAAGTCTAATCAGTGTTCGTAACCCGATGGGATTGAATTGTAAATGCCGTAATTGTTTTCAATTACAGTTTAATACTGTATACAAGCTTTGTTTTGATATAATTGGCTTCAATTATTGAACAATAACATACTAATTTGTATATTCAAATAGTAATAATAGAAATTAATCGTCATATCATTAAATAGCTACTCGCCCCGGTACGGCACGGGTGTACATGTATCTAAATATCTAAATATATATAACTCAAAGGTGACTGACATAGTGATCTATCAACGCAAAGCCCAAACCACTGGACGGATCGGGCTGAAATTAGGCATGCAGGTAGATGTTATGACGTAGGCATCCGCTAAGAAAGGATTTTCATTAATTCTACCTCCAACGGGGAAAAATAGGAGATGAAAGTTTGTATGAAATTTTGTCAATTTTAAACCGATCGGGCACTTTGTATGCACAAAGCTGCTATGACATAGGCATCCCTTAAGAAAGGATTTTGATGATTTCCATCCCTAAGGGGATGAATTAACGCGAGCGAAGCCGCGGGCAAAAGCTGGTTATACATATAAACCTTCCTCTTGAAGCACTCTATCTATTAAAAATACCGCTTCAAAATCCGTTGCGTAGTTTTAATGATTGAAGCGTATATAGGTACGGATAGACAGCGACAGCGACTTTATTTTATACTCTAAGTCTAACACACCGTTTTACGTTTAATGGTCGCGAGTTCAATTCCTACTATGATACAAATATTTGTATTCATGAATATTTAAATTCAAATTCTAAAATAATTCATTCATGTAGGACTTTTTAACCGCTTATGAACGTATTTTGTTTTAGTGTATAGGTCTAATTGAGAAGAACTGGCAAGAAACTCAATTGAATGTTTTTTTTAAAGCCAGTTGTTGTGTTGTCTATGTATTGTGTGTAGCCTCGGTGGTCTAGCAGTTTTCGGTGGTCGCGGGTTCGATTCCTCGCACGATACAAATATTTGTATTCATGAGTGTTGTGTTGTTTATGTATATTGTATGTAGTTTCGGTGGTCTAGCAGTTTTCGGTGGTCGCGGGTTCGATTCCTCGCACGATACAAATATTATGTTGTCTATGTATATTGTATGTAGTTTCGGTGGTCTAGCAATTTTCAGTAGTCGCGAATTCGATTCCTAGCACGATACAAATATTTGTATTCATTAGTATAGTATTATCTATGTGTATTTGTATGAATTTCCAACATCACAGATATCACTAACGTAACATTGCATGAGTGTAACGGTACGGAAATACGGCCTGAGTTATAGTGGCAATATTCATTTGTACGGGACCACTGTTAAGGCTATATGTCTCCGACACCTCTGTACAAATAAATAAATAAATAAACCTGGATAATTAACACAGCGCCATCAAGTACCACGGTAAGCGGAGTTTGAATTATGGGTACTAGACAACTGAGGTAAATACTTAGTTGTTTTTTTTTTGTAAATACATACATAGATTTTAATAATAATAATAATCTCAGAATAATTCACCACGTCATCTAGTCCCAAGTTAAACTAGCTAAAGTTTGTGTTATGGGTATTGTTAGACTACCGATACAAATACATAGATATATATTTTTTTCGTAAATACATACATATTATACATAGACAACCTCGGTGGTCTAGCGGTCTAGCACACTGCTTTACGACCGATGGTCGCGGGTTCAATTCCTCGCATGGCACAAACATTTGTATTCATGAATATGATTGTTTATATCGGTCTGTGTGTTTTCTATATATAATATGTATTTATTTACAAAAAAAAACGATGTATATGTATCAGTTATCTAGTACCAATAACACAAACTTTAGCTAGCTTAACTTGGGTCTAGATGGTGCTGTATGAATTATCCTGAGATAATTATTATTATTATTCTAGAAAACGCTCAGACCGATACAAACAATCATACTCATGAATACAAATATTTGTGTAGTGCGTGGAATTCAATCGGCGACTATCAGAAGTAAAGCGGTGTCCTAAACCGACTACTGAGGGCATCAATATATGTCTGTAATGCAAATAAATTACTTACTTATTGTATGCGACCATCGTAGTATAAAAAAATCTTAATTTCATTAGACACAGACCTCTTAAACGGACAGTCTGTGTCACGTCATGTTTCGTATTGCTCTCGATCTACATAACGCACGTTTAGTCACAAACTGCATTAACTCGAAAATAAACTTTGGGAAAATCGACTTTTTTTGTTTGTTTTAAGGTCAAATTTTCTTTATTTTTAATATGTGAGTTAATGCTGTTGATTATTAAGCGAGTGATATATTGCTACATAACGATACGTATAGTCAACCGTTAAGTTTTGTTTTAGACATTTTAAACGTCATATAAAACCGGAGATTTAGTTCTACTTTATGTTATTGGGATAGCAAACAAGTTCGGCCTCGACGGTCTAGTGGTTTAGCATACCGTTTTACTTCCGATGCTAGCGAGTTCGATTCCTTGCAATTTACAAACATTTGTATTCATGAGTATAATTGTTTGTATCCGTCTGAGTATTTTCTATGGAATATTACATATTTAATTGCCAAAAAACAACGTCGAACAATCTAGTGACGGTAGATGAAAAAACTGCTGTCACCTATCTACATTGACGCTGTTACGCCAGTCAGCTCGTGACCACGGCTAGTGCAACCTAGTCGAAACGTCGAGAGGTAAATACCTTTATTTGCCATAAAATTATTCGTGTTAAGACCCGGTTAATAATATAAATAAAAATAACTATTCTGTAGTACCTACCTACTACAGAATAGTTATTTTTAAATTTTCGTGTTTAATATACATTATTTATATTATTAACCGGGTCTTTACATGAACTAATTTTATGGCTAATAAAGATATTTACGCTAGTAAATAAAAAAATAAAATAAACATTACTAAACATATAGGCATGTAAATATATAGGTGTGAAATGAACACTTCGCATTATCAGTTTTCCGTCGTTTTAACATATCGACATATGAGTAAGTGCGAGATGAATATGGTAAGTGTTCACCTAAAGTGTCAGTTGCTTCCAATATCCGTACGTCCCCGGTGTCGGATGCTGTCACTGTTTTACCTATATTATTGGGAGCGACGAAGCAGGAAAGATAAACTGTCTTATTTTATTCCGCGCGTATCTTATAGCGTTCAATATACAAAATACATGAATTTCCACGAATTCTTTTGAGTGAAATGTATACAGTAATATATCTAATACTTGCTGACCCAGCAAATGTTGTTTTGCCATATAAATTGAAATCTAATCTCGCTAAAAGAAGTTGAAAAAAAGAAGTTTGAAGTCGTAAAAGAGTGAAAATTTTAAATTGCAT